GGTTTGGGGGTTTTTTGGTTTATTTTTTTCCCATCTTCACTCCCCTGCTCTACAAAGAACCTTTGGAAGCAGCTTGGGAATATGCACCATTTTAAACTGGGATTTCTTGCCCCTGTCTTTTATTACTCACGAGGATGTCATAGCTGGATTTATCTACTACTGCTGACACATCATATAATGTGATAAAAGGTAACAGCTCACTTGTACACTGATGAAACCAGCTCGTCTTTTGCTTGATCAAAGTATTTCCTATTTATACTATAATAAACAATTTGACACACTGGAGGTTTTTTTTCCTCTGGTGTTAGCCTGAAGTCATTTTTCCAGGATACTGAAAACCAGCTGCTCCTCTAATTAGTACACTGAGTGCTTATTTTATTCCTCAGATAAAAGTGTCTTATGTTGTAACAAAACAGTTTGACACTCAAGTCACACATTCATCTATTTTACCGCAAAAGTCTGCTTAAAGAGCAGGCATCCCAGATAAGGCAACACATTTAATGTGCCATTTCTCTGCATTTTTATTAGCATTACTGCCAATTGGAAGAATTTACAAATAATTTCTTTTCCAGCACATAAATATATAAAATATTTTACTTTCCACATTCTGGCAGAACACTTCAGGTCACTCTCCAGATTGCAGACAGAACTGTAGGCATCTCTCATAGTCTGCGATATTTACATTCATGCAGTAATTTATGTCTTAGAGTAAAGTGAATCAAGGGTATAAACTAAGGTGAGATCTGACCTCTACATTCAGATCAAAAGCAAACAGTAAGTCCTTATAAGTACAGCACACTGGAGAGATGCCCATCTATACTAAACAACCTTCTGCTGCAATACCATCATGAACCTTTTCTATCAAAGATGCAAGCAAAGCTCTGGCCTCATGTGAATTTCATGCTCTGACATATGATGGAACCACAATTCCTCACCTCCCTTCCCCAAAAGAGGCATTTTTGCACAGAAAATCAAATTTCTTTCCCTTCTGTTTGGGTACTTTCACCTCTCCCATCACAGCAATGCTGTAACACCTTCTAGTAGTTCATAAAATGTTAGTTTTGATGATTTATAGGACCCATCTTGTGACTTTGAAATATTCCAAGTTGATTCCCATTTTTCTCCCTGATACATTTTTTTATGCCAACTACACTATATCCCCTCCAGCTGCTGCTTTCCTTTTCACTTGGGTGAAGCAGACCTTGCAGAACTGCAAAGAAGGAAAGGTGGAGAAGGCATTTGTAGGAAGTGCAGTGGATACTTCAGCCTCTGATGCTCTCCTTCCTTCAGTGAGGACTGGCAAGAGTTAGATATTCACTGGAAATAAGTGCATTCAGAGAAGCTGAACGGGGCAGAATGTACCTTGGAGTGTGGTCCCTTGCAGGTCTGTGGAGGGAAGCCAAGGCTGAGGGCTTCCCATGTGCCACCACTAATTCCCGCTACTCATCCCCTACCTCAGCACAGGAACCAAATATCTCCTGTCCCAGTGGCCCAAACTTACCTCAGCTTTGGGGGTAAAAAAAACAAGTCAATGTGGTCAGCATATTGGGAGCATTGGACAGCTGTCCCTCGGTAAGAGAACCTGGGTTTTGATGCTTCTCAATACAGGATTTGCTATGAGCTTGCATCTGCCTGTATGCAGGAAAATACACCTTGCTCTGTTTTGTCAGCCCCAAGACATCCTGGGGTCCCATTTTACTGTTTCTTAGCTAAACTTCTATCTCTTCCCCAGCCCTGCAGCAGCTTTGCCATGCCACAGCACCAAAGCCCAGCAGAGACAACTCTCCATGTGCCATGGGTTTCATGGCATAGGACTACCTGCCTCCTAGCAATCCCAACAGGCAGGAGTCCCCTCCTGCCATTCTGAGCCCTAATGGACATTTGGAAGCTCTTGAACATCCTCAGCATTACCCACACATTCTGTGTGGGCAAACCCCCTCATTGCACCCATTTCCACTCTGTCAGTGCCAGGGCTGCTGTCATGTCATCTGTGAAGGAAGGCTGGTGGTAACACATGGAGGCATTAAAAGCGATAAGACACCCATGAAGAGTTGCTGGGCAAAATCCAGGATGTGCAATTGCCATTTTCACTTACGTTCAAGCAGCATTTTCTAACCAACTACATTTTACATTCAAATGCAATGAATTATGAAATGCACCTTCATTTCTGCTCTTATTTGGAGTCTCACTGTGTGTTATTGAACAGCTGCACACTTACAGCCCCAGAAGCAACTGTCCTTGGGCATCTCTGGAACTGATTGCTGCATAGTGAATACTGAGCTCGATGAGATCCTCTGTGGCAGAAGGTGACATACAGGTGTGAAATACTCCTGTCATATCAGTTTATGCTCAGCCACAAACCCACTCCAACATACAGTGCATATGCTCTTCTTAATATGTGCTTTGTCCAACCTAGCAATACTGCTCACACAGCACAAAAGACCTAATCCTGACCTAGACAGAGTTGAGCCTCCCTATGTATCCCCATGGAAAATGGGGTTTGCAATGAAAAACAAATTCAGACCAGCTCTGGTTGCTCATTATTTGAAGCCCATCTGTTAAATAAGCCATGGCAGATACAGAGACTTTGCCATCCTGCAATGAGAATGCACTCCCAAGGTAATTTCTGATGAAAACTGTATGTTTGCACTAGGTCTGCTTAGGCTGGTTCAGATTAAATAGAAACCCCTGCCAATTGTATTACCTCATTATTAGCAGACACTGGCAGCAGACTTGTGCAGAGGGATGGGCGTCTGGCTGCACTACCTGCCGCCACATCGTAATTCATGTCAGGTGCCGGGAGACGCACAGGATTACTGCCTCCCTCCTGCCTCTCCTGACCACAGGGGACTCCTACTTGAACGTGACCTTTCATCCAGTCAAGCTGCCCGTCCACCTGATGCTGAGCCAAAGCCTTGGAAAAATCCAGCAACCCTCAGCAGGGGTATGGGGGAAGGAATGTGAGGATGCTCCTGGGGGTGCAGTGCATGACTGGCATCCCTGGGAGCTCATTGGGTTTAAGCCCTGCTACTGAATGATGTTTATGCACAGTAGGAAAAGAAGGAGGAAGCTATTGGTGGTTCTCACTACATATTTCAAGTTAAATCCCAGGGAAAAAAAAAAAAAAAAAAGAAGACAATCCATCAGAGAAAAGTAGCCATAAGCCATATAATAATAATTCAAGCCATAGAGCATTAATTCAATTTGCAGGCAAGGTAAATCTTCCACATAATATTCCCCTATTTTCTCAGTGCCTAAGGAATTTCCCATTACCTTGTCTTTTTTTGATGTATGGCCCATTTGACCTTCACATAGCACAGACCTGTGTCATGCCCCCAAACCTGCTCAAAATACTGCACCAACAGGCAGCTGAGACGTAAGAACAATAAAAACACCCAGTGAAACCAGACTGTATCGTTGGAACTGTTGGAACTGCTGAGCTGGAAGAGATGGAGGATCACCTCCCGTCTCTGCAGAAAACACATCTAGCTTGCTGAAAAGTCTCAAACAGGAATCTAACACCTTCCATCTGCAGCCCATTACTCTACATTTTAACTCCGTCTCTTCGATTACAGGTCCCTGCACACTAGGAGTGTATACAAAGCAGTGCCAAAGTCTCAAGTCTGTGAGACTGAGAGTCAGGGAATAACTGGAGATGAATCAAAACTGGAAGCCAATTCCACAGCACTCTTTTTCCAAAAAAGCAGTTTCAGTAAAAGACCCCATGAATTGGCATCATGCTGAGGCTGGCCTTTACAAACCTAAAGCAAAATCATCTGGTCTGCTCGGAAAGGCAGAACGTAACAAGGTGCAAACAATTTTTGGAGAAAGTGCTTTTTCAAGTGATGGATTCCCCCCCCGTTCTGACCTTTTCTTTTAGGACTGAGATCATTTCAACAACTGATCTTCTCTATCCACCAGGTTTCGCTTTACTTTGTCTCCCTGTCTAGGGGAGATGCGGAACACCCTCAAGCAGGGTGACAGCCTCTGCTCTGCTCCCCCTGAGCTGGTGAATATAGTCGTACTGTGCATCTTCTGAGGACATTTGACTTGGATAACCCAGGGAAGTAGGAGAGATTCCCTCCTGCTGTCACCATCTCCCATGATCTCTGCTCTCAGCAGTCTCCCCAAGGATGCTGGCATCGCATGGACTTGCCAAGAATCCCCCTTCAGACCAGGACTACATCCAGCACTCCAGTTTGATTTCATCTGACTTTGCATAGTGTTCCCACCCTGTTGTAGCTGCTTGCGGAGGGGTGGGAGAAGGTTGGACCTGTACCCCAGCTTCCCTGTACACTTCAAGCATCAGTCTCCCTTCCTGCTCTGAGCAAGGACATTTTAAAGACAGCCCGTTCATTGTGATCAGCTTTGATTGTAGCTTTGCAGCAGTTAACAAGTCCTCCCTGGCTCCAGCATCCTGATGCCGCATTTTTCTCTTCCCGTTAATGGTGGGTTCTGTTTCTTTTATTACCTCTTAGCAATCGTTTGACGAGTTCTCACAGCAGGACTTTGCTCAAAATTATTCCACCCTTCTAAACTTCTCCTTCAAAAACCATCAACACCTCATTACAACACAGCACAGCCTCCCATCCACAGCATTTTTTACTTGCAAAGAGTGGTGAGGCCACGGGATAAAGCAGAACTTCTCTGTTGGGTGCTCAGATCATCTCAGAGAATGCATCACTGGGCCAGATGCTGCCCAGGGGTGCAGAGAAAAGCTACAGCAGCCTTGCAAAAGTTGTTCTGTCTTCACCCAGCTGTATCAGCTGGTCAAATAAAAGATGCTCCATCTCCCTTGTGTGAGTTGCCTGAGGTTTGTTTACAGGTTGATGGCTCACTATCATCTGCCTTTTCCTTGCTGTGGTAAAAGGCAAAGTTTCACAGCTTTCTGTTCAGACCTTTCTTGGTGATGATAAATGATCTGAGCCCAAACCATAGGCTGCAATGCACCTGGAATGGCTGCCCTCCACCAGTAACAGAGATCAACAGTGAGGACTCACCATCCATGTCAAGGCGCTGCATGATAATCGCCAGCTCCACCTCACTGGGCATGTATCCCAAGGAACGCATTGCCATGCCCAGCTCCTGCTTGGATATAAAGCCATTCCCATCCCTGTCCAGCACCCGGAAAGCTTCACGGATTTCTGTAAAGGAGAACAAAGAAGAGATGAGTTAATAAGGTGGAGGATCCCCTGGTCAGTGCATCTGGACATATAGGACACAGAAGCAGCATATAGTGCCTTTCCTAATGTTAATGATGCCTAGTTGATCATTTCAAGGCAGCAGCATCATGATACATATACACTTGTGTGTATGCAGTCACGCATGTACACCTCTGTATGGAGATAGATATACACAAGAGCATCCACATTTACAATACCTATTTTCTGTTGTGAAATTATTTATTCATTACATATTGAACTCCATTCCTCTCTGCAGCATCTGCCTTGGACTGTAACCCATCCTCATCCACAGTTAAGTCTCCCCGCATATGGCTGCACAGCAAACCCAGCCCAGGCATTTCTCCAGCAGCTCTTCTCCCAGCCCCTCAGCATATCTGCAGGGCAGATTTACTTTATGTCACATGGGCAGATCAAGCTCTAACTTTCTCCAACAAAACTACGTGCACAGGGGTAGCTGTGTGCTGACTGCCTCCTCCGCAGGGTTGGAACCCTGCAGCAGAAGCCTGGATGCTCACGTTCTCCCTTGTCCAATGAATGTGAAGGTGTATCTTTTAAACAATACCCAGGCAATTGACATCTCACACTCCTTTTCACACCCTTTCTCTAGTTTTGTGGCAATAAACAGCCTCAGATCAATAAAATACTGATGACATCAAAGGAACCGCTCCCATCATTCTTCCTCAGCCTGGCTCAGCTTTCAACATCTGACTTGGCTTTTCCCACCTCCAGCCTGTAATAGCCACATTTCCTGCTCCTCACAGACCTCTCAACTTGAAGCCCCACCACCAAACCTCCCAGACCTGACTGTTGCAAACGCCAGACTGAGAACCTTAACATTTCGGTTTGTTACAACCCTATTTACTTGAAGGATTCAGTTGGAGGTGGGGAGAGAAAGAGGTGCTGATTTCTTACATTTGGTTTAGCAGTCTTTGCCCCATGCTGTGGAGAGGAAAACACAGGATGCTTTATCTTGCCTCTTTTGGGAATGAGGATACATGAAAAACCAGCATGCTAGGACCCACTGCAGCTTTGCTCAAAGGAGTTTAATTTTAATGTGAAAACATTTCGTTGGAGAATTCGGAGGGAAAACACAGCAGGGTTTTTATATTCTGGGGGGAGAGGGGAATTAAAAACCAAAAGCTTTATTCTGTCAGGAAACAGACTGGATGGAAAAAGTTTGGCCAGTCCTAGGTACTTCAGGCATTAAGCCTCAGACAAGAAAATATTCCCAGTCTTGCCATGGACTGGAAGCATGTCACCTCCCTCTGCTCAGTACATGCCACAGAGGCACCAGCCCCCCTGCAGTGGGGCTACAGGAAAAAGCTGGGGACGTCATAATCCACCAAGAAATGGGTTCAGTGATGTCTTTGTAACAAGTTCTTTCGAGCTTTACAATTCAAAAGCTGTTTCTAAACCACCTCACATCAAAATTTACCACCTCCCTTGACAACACCAGTGCGTTAGCAAATTCTGCTTCAATTTCCACACACTGCTTTCTGCTGTGTGTAATACCCTGGTGATGTGCCAAGGCCAGGGAACCTCTGCAACCTACTGCTAAACCTTCACCACAGATCTGGTTATCATAATAAGATATGATCAATTTTTAATCCAGCCAAAGTGCCCACTGATGCAAAAGGGGAAGATCCTATTAATTTCAATGAATATCAGGCCAGATCTGTAATACCAACACTTTGGGTTTAGGGATGCATCAACTGTGGTTTCTTTAAGCTTAAAACACTTCACCTTGTCTCCCTGCCAGCCCAAGCTGGTGTAAGCTTGCTGGTATGGGGAGACTGCTGAAAGCAAGCTCGGATGGAAGTACGGGCACATAATGCAAAGAGCCTTTGGAGTAGAAACGAATCCCATTAGACACTGCCAGCTGTAGTGAATCTATTTTCATATGCTGTGCTGAAAGCTAAAGTGCAGTAAATATTACATCAAAATCAATTAATTTTAAAATAAAAGTTTGACAGCTGAAGACGAAAGAACCAAATATATTGCAGGGAGCTGAGGAAGTGTTTTAGAAAATAAAATAGGAGTCTATCTTCAGAAAAGTTTGCATGTGAGTTAGACTGATCCGAATTACATGAATAAATTATGTCTGTACAGGGGCTCTGCTGTAGGATATCTGAATGCCAGTGAATATCTTCTCCAGATACACTGATTTCAGAAGGTGCATTTAACAGCACTGCAACCTTTGAGCCTCAACCAGGGGGGAAAACCCCACACATTTGGGGTCCAGCTCTGTTCCATTGCTCTCAGAAACCTGGACTTTTGACCAAGCCTGAGACATCTTTCACAAATCAAGTCCTGACATCAAATGGAGCTAGCATTCACTCATCACTCTATAAATACCACTTGTGCAGAGGTATATTTGAAGAACTATTTATAGGTTGAACACACTGTACACGAAGTAGCTATGACCTCAGTCAGTGCCTCCTTTTTATCTTTACATGTAACACCACCTCCTTATCAGCTTCTCTTCATAGTGATTCTTTCTCCTCTCACATACTCACAGGTGCTGTCCTGCACAGCACCCGTAGTGTGAGACATAGGACTGAGCATCCTTCCCAAGCACAGCACCACTAGATCCAGTGCTGCCAAAGAGCTGGCCCCAAATAGAGGTCCATAAACCTGTAGCAGCCTGGCTGGCCCTCACCTTTATTTCCAGCTGTTCAATTTCATTACCCAAAGCTAAAAATACATCAGCACTTTTCCCATATGGCTTTCCCAAAGAAGTCGCCATGGCAACTGATGCTTCTGGCTGAGAACTGGGAGTGGATGTGGTCCATGGAGGAAATCTGTCAACAAAGACATTGACAGGGCTTGGGAGAAACCTTGAGACCTCTTCCATTTCGGCTGGAAGCTGCTCTGCATAGGGATGCTTTATACTGATCCAGAAAAGCAGAGCTCTGTTTTGTCTTTAGAAAGAACAGTAAAATAACAGGATAGCAGGTCTTAAAGCAATGCTGCCCCAGCAGCTACCTTGCCCCTTGCCCAACGTGGATGGCAGCAGAACCTCTACACCCAACCACGTACCTCTACTCAGATTACAGCTCCCCTGGGAAGTTAGTAAATATTGACATTTATTGCTCTTTCCGCTATTTAATATCTTTTATCAGTCCCAAATTTTGGCAGTTGAAACAAACTATATTGGAGGATAAAGGAGAAAAAAGAAGAGAAAATATAGAAAGATTTAGAAAACATAAAGCAGTCTGTTTTGCTGATGATGGCACTGGCCTGAGCCTGAAAAAACATCACTTCTTCTCAAGGAGCCCAGGCTAGGACCTGAGTGCTCTTCATCATGTCTCAATTTCTCCAGGTCCTGGGAACAGTGATACTGATCATCTGTGCAAGGTGATTTCAACATCAAAGTGCTCACCCAACAGCCAGGGACTATTAGCAGCACTAAACCATCTAACTCGCAGAATTAATTCAAACTGTATCAGCAACTAGTGTTGCTGTACAGGAAGAAACTCTGTCAGGTGGACCATAGACGATGCTTAACACTGAACATCATTCAAGTGAGCAACGGGAGAGAAGGGATCAGCATCTGGCCCCATCCTAACTAACAACTTTGATTTCAAAGGGACAGTCACCACAAAATTATTTATATTCCCAACTGATATAAGGCTGGAAAGAATGACCAGGACCAAAAGTCCAGCAAAAAGGAAGGAGTGCTGTGTGAATCAGACAAGATTCCAGAGCAGAAGGCCCTCACCTGGGAGTCAGCTGTGCTGAGGCAGGTATGGTGAGCTGGGTGTGAAGGTACATCCCTCAGGCAAGTTTTGTCCAGTGGTTTTCCCAAGGTGGGGACTTATATTCCATGGGAGCCGAGAGCACAGCAATCACTTCTCAGAGTTATCTGAGCATTCAAAAGCTGTATGTGTGTTGCTTTTAATGCATTCTCACTCTTTCCTCACATATAACAGCTGCACCTTCCAGCTTCCCTGTTACAGAACACATGGCCATCCAATGACCCCCCTGCTCCTTGGGAAGACAGAAAGGAAGAACTGTGGAAAAGGATTATTTTCTTTATATTACCTTTCTGAAGGGTACAAACAAGACTGCTGTCAGAGACCTGATACCCAGCCTAGTAAGTCGTTAACTCTCTGCATCCATTTGCATCCAAAACCACATCCTCAACCACTTGCTCATATCACACCCACTCCAGCCCTTCCCTAAAAAACACCTCTCCATGGTTCAGGCAAGCAGGACCCTGACCTCGTGCTCCCCTCCCCAGCTCATCCCTTCTCCATGATCAGTAGCAGGTTTAGTTACAGATGATTTCCCTCTGACTGGTAACTAGAGGCAACGATCATGATTTTTGTTTTGCTTCCTGAATAAGAATGAATCACAATGCTCCGGGAAATCAATTGAGCCTGAGCCATCGGTGTCCACAAACTCCCCTCAGGCACTACAGATGGTTTCAGGTTATTTCACTGGGTATAAATACCACCACAATAAATTTTGTAATTACACTGTAACTACCACACCCGAAGTGCACAGTAATTACCATCAGAGTCCTATATGGTTATTTTCATTAGTATGATAAGAGAAGAAATACCACCACCCAAAATCTTGCAAGTCATCTCATTCACTTAATTGCAGGTTTGGGCACCAAAGTACAAACTGAATGATCTAAAAGCTGCAAATAGCATGTCCTTGAGTGAACTGTTAAGTGAGTCTCTAACTACTATGTCTGTTTAAAAAAAAAAAAAAAGAAAAAAAGGAAATTTCCATCTTCCCATCTGCTATTCTTACGCTTGGTTTTTTTCACTACAAATTGCAACAAAGTGTCAAAATTACTACATTTTTCATCTAATGGAAACGCCCCCTACCCCCCCCCCCAACATATTCCAATTGAAAGTGTCAAAATATTTCACTTGGTTATTCTCAATCACAGCAAAACAGTTCAGCATCCCCAGATCAAACTCCTTCACCGCAGCCTGGAGCCGCAT